TTGGAATTTATTTAGACTTTAGAAAAAACTATAATCTATTGTGTAGTATGAAACAACTTCAACTGTTTAGATTCAGGGTAGTACTCCTTGTCAAACACATAGGAAGTATATGAATACTTACAGCTAGAGGATGTTTTTTTAAAAAAAGGCCATAAATCAGTTCTAATTCACTTTTGCTACCTACCATATGGTATATGAAAAAACTCCTGGTTTTCAGACATAGAAACTGGATATACATCTGGATTTGTAGTTGATGTTGAATGAAAGTAAAGCTGATTTCCTTTTTTTTTTTTAGTAGAAGTTGTCAGACACTTGAGTTGGAGCCACAGATATATTTGAAATATGCAAAGTGTTTTTTTCATTTTTTAAATGAAAATATATCTGAAAATATTTTTGCATGTAATTTCTTTGTTTACCAGGTGGATGGATGATGGCTTAGTAAATGATATCACACCCAAATTGATAGGAGACAGACCTAATACATACATATACACAAAAGCATTGGCAGAATATGTTGTACAGCAAGAAGGAGCAAAGCTAAATGTGGCGATTGTAAGGCCATCAATTGTTGGTGCCAGTTGGAAAGAACCTTTTCCGGTAAGTTGCTAGAGATCTTTGTAAATAATGGGAATTGAGAATTTTAAGTCATAATTTTGTACAAAAAGAGTTGGCAGTTTTTTAAGAGCAGGTTTTGTTTACTGAACATGGCTTATTGTGGCAAAGTTGTTTCCATTTGTAGAGAGAGACACTCTTATTGGTACTTTTATGTAAGGTGCATGTATTGTAATTTTGCATGTATAGAAACGCAGATAAACTTTTAAAATGTTAACTGAAAATTAAAGGCTGTGGTATTGTCTGGAGTCAGAGGAGACCATGCCTTTCAAGTTTCTTTGTCATTGATAAGAGATTGGACACTGACACATCACCATTTGTTGGCTTTTAAAATTATTTGTGGATTAGTTTCCCTTGTGGAGGTGAAGGGAATAGAAATGAGAATATTCAGGATCTTATTTTATTTCATTTGCTTTTTAGTAGCTAAAAGAGGCAGGTCTTTTAACAAGTTCACTTCTTGTATAGTTCACATGCTAAGGAAGATAAATTTCTGTGATTTGCTGTAGAAAAGCAAGGCATTATAGTATTTGTGAATCGCTGAAATAAGAAAATGTAGATATAAAATGAGATAAATTGATTTAGAAAAGACTTAAGTCTCGGTAGTAGTAGTAAATGGTACTATTTTGTTACTTTGACATTACTCTGTTTTATTCAGTAATCTTGAGAATTTACCATTTCCTTCAATCTAAGGATACTGTCTTAGTAAATAGCACAAAATCAAACTTGAGCAATCTTAATTTAGCTTAAATATTTGGCAGATATAAACTCCTTTTTGCAAAATTCTCTTTGCAGAGAGTTAATGAAAGAGTAGGTAACCCTTTGAAAATTATTTTAATTAGTCATTTGCAATCTCAGAAAAGACTATTTAGGATGGGGAGAAATATTCTGGCCTGAATATAGTCAGATTTTTAGTTCTCAGAAGAAGACTACCAAGTATGTTTGTGGAATTATAGAGTTCAAATTGTAAATCTCTAATTTTATAGTATTTCTAAGCTCCCTTCCTTTTTTTTAATTTTTGGTATTAGGGATGGATTGATAACTTTAATGGACCAAGTGGTCTTTTTATTGCGGTAAGTAATAAGCCTTTTTTTTTATTGTGTTGAATATTCTGGGTTTTTTTTCCCTGTTTTCTATGTATCTTTGTATTGTGTATATGCTCTATGGGTTCTGTATCTTAAGGTTTTGTTTTTAATTTCAACAAAGGCAGGGAAAGGAATTCTTCGAACAATGCGTGCCTCCAACAATGCCCTGGCAGATCTTGTTCCTGTAGATGTAGTTGTCAACGTGAGTCTTGCGGCAGCCTGGTATTCCGGAGTAAATAGGTATATGAGATGGCAATGTCGTTTATTAGATGTATAGTAACTGAGATGAGAACTAATGTTAAAAAATCCTCTATAATGGATATTTATCAATTTTATTATCCCATACTGATATTATATAGATATTATCACTTTCAACTGCAAGAGTTGACTTACCACAGCCAATGAAGTGGTTCCATCAGCAGTAGTAATAATTAACATAAGTTGTTGTGTACTGCCTACAGGATGGACAAGGTCATTAGAAATTTTTTTTTAAAAATGTATTTTTTTTGAATACAGACTAAAACTTGGTATAAACTTGTCATATATAAAGAGGTGAAATTCACAGAGAACAACTTACATATATCAAACATGCACACTAGTACACTTCAATCAACTCATGGGTCTCCTTTTAAAAGGGAGTAGTAGTATTTATAGGTCTAACACTTAAACCTAAACACCTAAGCTTCTCAGTGAAATTTTTCTAAGTAATAATATTCCCTTATTTTTGAAGTCACTGTTTTATATTTTACAAAAAGGAGGGATATGATTATATGAATATATTGTTTCTGGTAAAAGTAGATTCTGTTCACAATTTCTTTTTAACTAGAGCCTCTGAAAATGGGAAGGAGATAGGATGAGCCAAGGTGGTTCTTTATCCAATATGAGAAAAAGGCACTCATGCTAATACAAGAAGAAAAATATGAAGTCTGTTATTTTTTATAAATATTTTTCGGGTAGGATTGGAAAAAAAGGTAGTGTAAATAGTTGTTCAGACATAAAAATTAATCCTTTAAAGATAATATTTTAAATATTTATGGTAGAAAAGTCCTCATTCTTCCTACATAAGCATCATATAAGATTTAGATTGGTTAAGTTTAGCTTTTTAAAATTTTTCATTTATTTGATCTTTGTCTTTGCAGACCAAGAAACATCATGGTATATAACTGTACAACTGGAAGCACTAATCCCTTCCACTGGGGTGAAGTTGGTATGATTTTACCTGTATTTTTGAATGTTAGAATAAATTTTTATAAACTTAAAATGTTCACTGAGTTTTTATGTTAGAATAAGCCATGAGGCATTAAAGCCACCCAGTTACAAGTTTATTCTTATTTTAGTTGCCATGTTAGAATATCTACTGATACTGCCTTTTGGTCCTTAATAATGTTTAATTAATTTAAAAATACCTAGCTGTGTGTTCCCTCCTCACCCCACCCTTGTCTGACCCTTAATGTTTCTCTGCTGCCATCTACAGCAGTGCCCATGGACACCCGTGGTATGGAAACAAAGCTGTTTCCTCCCTCACGGGCATTCTTAATCCTGGTGCTCCCTGTTCACAGGCAGTATCACTCACAGCTACAAGAGTTGATATATCACAGGAAATAGCTACTTGTCCTAAGAGGAATAGCTGAAGGAGTAAGCAAGTAGGATACATTTTGCCAGAATATTTTCTGTTGTGTTTATTAATCTGTTAAATTCACAAATTCACAGCAATAGTGTGTATGCAGTTACTTGTTTCAAAACAGGAATAGTATAACTTAGAATGTACTGAAATTTGATCATTTTTAAGTCAAATACAAGGTAAAATATATTTACAGTGTTGATTTAGTGTACTAGGTCTTATTTTATCTCTAATTAAACAGTTTTTGTTACCCTTGTGGAATAATTTTGATTTTAAAGTAAATCTTTGTCTTTTATCCTAGGGGTTATTCTGTGACATCTTTATTTCTATTTAACGATTGACTGTTAGAGAATATAAGGGAAAAAAATATAGGGTGCTTTTAATTTTATGATAATTAGTTGTATTCTTTCAAGAATTTTAAAACACTTTAAATAAGTTAGGTTTTTTGTAGTCTTTTCATTGTGTGTGTTATGAAGTTTAGCAAAATCAAGTTGAGCTTTATTTTTTAGTGAATATCTCACTATACGTTTCCATTGAAATATTAACGTAAATGATAATAGATTTGGTTGTTTTGATATTGTATAACCTAGATAAATTACAGCAGAAGTTAATTTGGGGTTGTTTTAAGCTTGTTGATATATGTTAATTTGAGCAACTTAATTATTCATAAGCAAAGGATGATGATTTCCCTTTTCTTTTTTAAGTAAGTACAGTAATAAGAATCTGGAAAGAGGAACAGAAAGAAAGAAGCTATTGTGAGAGGCGAAATATAGAAAGTGACATTGTAAACTGATATAGGTAAAACATTAAAAGGATTTTTAAGAGTGAATTTTAGCAAAAATTCATTCATCTAGTTAAAATTCATAAATAGTGGGAGTTCTAAAACCTCTTGAGTTCAGCAGTTTAATACCCATATTCCCTTAGTTACTATAGAAAGTAGAAAAGTTTGTTTTTTAAATGAGCAAACTCTTGACATCTTTGGTAAAATATTTGCTTTGTAAAAACATGATTTTTTTTCCAAAACTTCACTACATGGTTGTTATCAAAGCTGTTACACAACTTTTCTTCCTCAGAATACCATGTAATTTCCACTTTCAAGAGGAATCCTCTCGAACAGGCCTTCAGACGGCCCAATGTAAATCTAACCTCCAATCACCTTTTATATCATTACTGGATTGCTGTAAGCCATAAGGCCCCAGCACTCCTGTATGATACCTACCTCAGGATGACTGGAAGAAGCCCAAGGTAATGGTGACTAGCTCTGTCTTATCTGTTCCTCTGACTGTTAAACAACCCATGCTTACACTAAACTGCATATTAACTCTCTATTTGTTTATGCTATGATAAGGCTTAATGGCCTTTTGTGACTGAGAAGACTCTTGAATTTAAGAATTTGTCAGAAAAGCAAAGGTAGTGTCATAATTCATTCTGTTCTAAATTTTGGATGATAAATTATTGTCATATGCTGAATTCTAGGTCTAACTTTAGGTATTTTTTTCTGAATAACAAATAACATTCAAAATGCTTTGATGCTTATTTTTCCTACAGGATATTATCTAAATCATTCCTTCAAGATGAATCCTTTAAACCAAGTATTCAGGCGTCCCAATATTAAGTTTTATTCCAACAACTTATTGCTTCATTATTGGAAGGGTGTCAGACACACAGTACCTGCATTATTGCTCGATCTTGCACTCAGGTTGACAGGTCAGAAACCGTGGTAAGAAGAATAGCAGTAAATACACTGTATTGGTAAGGTGGTGGAGGCTTGCTGGAGAGACAAAAAGTCGCTAGCATGAGCTTTACCTTTAGTTACTAACCTGATTAATCACAATCACAATCCGGATGCTAGAACATTTCTTAGAAATTGAGGATATTTGGGGAGACTGGATCTCATCTTATTGGGCCTTTGATCCTCCAAAATCCCATATTACAGGAAATGTCCAGCTTCAAGGTTGTCATTGTTATTATAAGCTGAAATTGAGCCCTTCCCTCCCCATTAATCACTTGGAGGTGAGTTTTATAGGGGATTAAGGGTTAAATGTTTTAAGTGGATTGTACAGTTTTATATGAAAAAAACCTAGAATCCTTCTAGGAAATTAATTGCTTGAGCTGTTTCAGCTTCCCATTCAGCTTATAATATTGTAGTTACAATTTTTGACTAATTTTTCAGGTTGATAATGTCATAGTTTAAAACAAAGTTTAACGAATCAAAAACTTCATTTCTTATAGTTGTTGTGGCCTTTCTTTTTTTTTATTGAAAGCTCACAAACTTAAATAAAGTAATCCTACTGTCTTTACCACAATTATAGTGAAATACTTTGATTGGAGAGTTCAGGATTTGAGTATTTAAGTGTAAAGAAGATGCTGATTCCAGAACTTCCATCAGCTGCTCAAAAAATAAAAGCGAAGTATCTGCTAGTTATAGTGTATCTGAATTTGAATTACATGTAGGGAATTTTCTTTGGATTCAGTTGTCCGTTATGTTTCTCATCGTGTATGCTAAATATTGAAATATATGAGTGGTGTTGAACAGCAGTGCATGCTATCTTGATATTAATAGATTTTATGTATATTAGGGCAGAAAAATCAAAACTAGGTTCAAAAAGTAAAATAAGTTAAATATATCACAATGCTTTACACAGAAAAGGGGGCTTAGTAAACTTAAATGAAGAACCAGAGTTGATTAAATAACTTATAATAGATATTGATGCATAACAAATTATCTCAAACTTAGTGGCTTAAAACAGCAATAGTCATTTTATTATTTCTTTCGGTTTATTGATTCTCTCAGCATCTGGAATTTAGAAAGGGATCCACTGGGCAGCTTTGGCTTAGAGGTCTTTCATGTGATTGAAGTCAGATGGAACTGAAAGGGGGACGTGCAGTGTAACAGCTAGTATCATTGTCTCTTCATGTGGTATCCAGATCTTTTCATAGAGTGTCTTTGCAAGGACCAGTGGTTGCCTTAGGGGAGTTGGACTGCTTACATGACAACTGGAGGCTTCAGGGAAAAGTGCTTCAGCAGACAAAGTGGAAGCAACGTGCATTTTCTGACCTACTTAAGAAAACTATGCAGCACTACTTCCACCTTATTCATTTGGTCCCAGGCGAGTCATAGATTTTTCAAGATTCAAGGAGCAGGGATATAGAGAATAGTCAAGATCATCTTGTAAATGAACTGGTGAGATGAAAGGTATTGTTGCAACCATTTTTGGAAAGTGCAGTTTGCTGTAGTCAGTCTTCTAGTCCCAACAGTTTATATTTCTCCTACATGGAAAACGTTCTTGCTTTGTCCTCACAAAACCTCTCTGACAAAAGCTTGAAGCCAGTGTGGTTAGTGACATCTGTTATAATTGTGAATGAAGCTTTTTCAGATACAGTTCCTCAAATATTGATCTGAAAACCTGTGAACTAAAGTGGCAGGTTACCTCCTGCCCATCTGACGTGTAATAGTGAGACAAGCATAGGAAATAATTTAGACAGTCTTGTTCAAAAGAGAAAAAGTAAGAGGCACACAGCAATCACTGGTCCATAACAGTTCTGCATTCCAGCAGGGTATGTTTGATGGTTTCTTACTTAGAGTTTCATTCCCCCTCCCTGGTTGTTTTCTGAGGTTTTGGTTCTCTCCTGAGTCATCCTTCTCTTCCCTTTAAAAAAATAAAAAGGCCTGTGTTTGCAACTGAATAGCCTTCTTATCCTACTTTCTGCCCACAAAAAGTTGGGAGTCTTTAGAGCAGAGATCCATATAGTAAATATTTCGGTCTTTGTGAGCCATATGGATTCTGTTGTAGCTTTTTACCTCTACTGTTAAATGTAGCTTCCACCTTGTACCTACTCAGTTCTGCAGCCTCAGACAATATGTAAATGAACAAGCATGACTGTGTTCCAGTCAGACTTTATTTTGAAAATAGATTTATTTGGCCCTAAACTCTGGTTTGCTGGACCTTAATGCAGAGGCCTCTTTGTGTTTGGTACTGTCTCTGACCTTTTAAGTGTAAATTCATGATTCCTTTAAAATTGTGTGTGTTTCCCATGAATTTGTTTTAAAACAATCCAGTCCATTAGACCAAAACCACACCCACAGATCTTTTTGAGACATATCCTTCTGTCTTGGGTTCCTTATGAAGTTGGTGTGGAACAGCACCCTTGAGTCTTAAATCTTTGCCTTTTATATCCTTAGACTCTTAAATCCTGCCTCTTAGAGCCTCTGTAAGACATGTCTTTAACATCTAGAATGAAACTTTTGTCTGAAAGTTTCTAAGAAGTATACTACTTTAATCTTTTTGAGGTAACAGAATCTTAGATCTGCATTCTTGATTTGATCTTTGATCAGAAGTTGTTTCTAAATTCCACTAAAACCAGATAGTTCATTTTTTAAGATCATCTTTGTCCTCTTTGAGGAAATCTTGGCTTAGATCATCAAGTTTATTAGATACATTTTCTGTTTTCCATGTGACCATAGGTAATAGTTTTGTTCTTCCAACTTGCAACATTATTTTCCTCACTTACCTTGAAACTCTCACCAACAGCTTCCTTATAGCCCTTTTAGTTTTTCCACTAACATCTTTGGTTCTTCCATGTTTTATCAGTGGTCTCAAGGGCCTCACAGTTTCTGTCTACCACCTAATCCTAAAGCCAGAATTGCATGTTTTAGTTTTTTATTATTAAAGCAGTCCCTCACTCCCAGTACTGATATATCTGTTCCCATTATTTGTGCTGCATGACAAATCTTTCAAATTTAGAATCTTTTTTTTAAAATTTAGATAAAATTGATATCAGACTTTGTTATCTTAAAACAGTAATCATTTCATTCTGTGGGTCAGAAGTTCTAGAAAGCTTTGATGGGATGGTTCTCTTTTAGAAGTGATTGCAGTCATAGGGACTAGAGCCAGCTACACTGTAGGGAATGGTAAAGGAGAGGAAGGGTGCTGAGCAGCTGGGTGGCCAGACATTTTCTCTCTTCATATAGTCTCAGAACCTTTCAATGTGGTCTCTGCACATGGACTAATTTGGGCTTCCTCACAGTGTGGCAGCCTCAGGGGAGTTGAACAGCATACATGACCTCTGAAGGCTTCAAGGGTGAGTATTCCAATGAGCAAGGCAGAAAGCTACCTTACTTTTTCTTACCTCCCCACAGAAGTCACAGTATCACTTCTACCTCATTCTGTTGGTATAAGTTACCTTCACCTCTTAATGGGATCTCTTAATAGTTGAGGCGATATTGTAGGTGAACATATAAGATGGGAGATAATACTTGCAGCCACCTTTGGGAATTAAAATTTGCTACAAATAGGAAGCATCAAATAAAGAGTCTTCTTAACTGAAGTTTGTCCTCTACAAGGCTTTCTAAATATCAAACCAGGAATGCTTTGGGAGCTTACACTTTAAAAGCAACAAGAGACATAAAGGTTTTTATTTAGGCAATTTTATAAATGTTAAATATGTGGTGGTAGTTGCTCAGTCATGTCTGACTCTATGCGACCCCATGGACTGTAGCCTCCCAGATTTCTCTGTCCATGGAATTTTCCAGACAAAGAAAACTGGAGTGGGTTGCCATTCCCCTTTCCAAGGGATCTTCCCCACCCAGGGATCTAATCGAGGTGTCTTGCATTGAGGGCAGCTTCTTTGCCATTTGAGCCACTAGGGAAGCCTCAAATGTTAAATATAAAGTCTTATAATTTATATTATTAAATTTGTTCAGATATTTGCTGAGCAAAGTAGTAGCCTCTACACCTTACATTAGGACCTTAATATAATGCCTGCTTTTGCATTAAACTCAGCAAAAACAAGACTGGGAGCTGACTGTGGCTCAGATCATGAACTCCTTATTGCCAAATTCAGACTTAAACTGAAGAAAGTAGGGAAAACCACTAGACCATTCAGGTATGACCTAAATCAAATCCCTTATGACTATATAGTGGAAGTGAGAAATAGATTTAAGGGACTAGATCTGATAGACAGAGAGCCTGATGAACTATGGACGGAGGTTC